TATTATTATTTATTTATTGTTTTTAATAAAGAAATGATGATGTACCTTATTGTTACAATCGAGTTCGTTATATTCGAGATGCTTGTAAAGTATTATCTGATCTTTGGAAAACCGATAAAGATTTTGTAAGTTAAGTAAAAATATTTATTTTGAAAAAAAAAACAAATGAAATTTATTTTTAGTTAAATATAAGTATTGATAATGATGTATCAAAATCATTCAAAGAATTTCGTTTGAATGATGTTGCACGTTCTTATCGTTTACCATATGGAACAAGTGGAGCTTCATCGATTTTAAAAATCAAACAGTTGATGATTTAGTTCAAATACATGATTTTATTGATTCAAAAAGAAAAGAATGGCTTGAACAATTAAAAAAAATTATTGAACAAGCCAGAGATAAACAAGTAATTATAGAACCTTGTCTTTTTTTTTTTATTTTTATTTTTATTTATAAAAGTCAACTATTCGTCGAACGATGACTGAATTTCGAGATAATTATGAAAAAGCTCAACAAAAATTAGAAGCAGCTGATGCCAATTGGAAAAAGTTCGTTTATTAATTTTATATAAAAACAAAAATAGAAGAAATTCTTTTGATTTTTCTAAAGATTTCAAACACGATCTGATCGTTTAACATTACCAAATTTTGATGAACGTTTACGTGAATTAGAAGATATTCGTTGTGAATGTGAATAAGCTCGAACATTATCACGTGATACATATGCAGCTGAAACATATAAAGTTGCTAGTGAAGAACATTCAATAACAATTAAACTTTTTTATCAATATTTATAGGAAAAAAATACATTTTATAATCATGTATCGAAATATTTATCATCACGAATGCCTGAAATTGGACAAAGATTAGAAAATGATGAATTAATTCCATCATTTGGTTATGATCTTGCTAAACATTGTTTAAAACGAAATGATACACTTATTGCTTATCCTATTGAAATATGTATTAGACTTTTAGAAAATAGTTTAAATGAACAAGGTCTTTTTCGTATTGCACCATCACAAGGAAAACAAAAACAAATTAGTTGCTGAACTTAATTTACATGCTATTGATAGAGGAAGAACACTTTATGATCTTAATTTATGATCTACATGTTCCAGCAAGTACACTTAAACAATATTTAAGAGAACTTCCTGATTGTTTACTTACAAATGCACTTTTATCACAATGGAATGATGTTATTTCAATCAGGTTTTTATCTTTTTTCTTTTAAGAGAAAAATAAAAGATATATTGATTTAGTTTTTTTTTTGAAAATAATTGATACTAATCAATCTATCTCAACAAAAATTTCGTTTAATTCATATATTATATTTAAAAATAAATAAAGAAACATTTGAAAATTGAAATAGTTAAGATTATATTGAAATCAATTTAAATCAGAGATGGGCAGGCTCCGATCGCTCCACCCGCTCCAGAGCACTTTTCGGTCGGAGCGCTAATGTATGTAACTGAAGCGGTGACAAACACAGGTTGGAATTCGACTTTGCTCCGAGGGTTCTGGTCGGAGCG